AAATATAGTCACATGATATATCAAAAATACATATACACAAAACCCTTAAAATTCCCAACAAATTTTTTCCACCATACTTCTACTCATCCTATATATCAGGGTTCATATACAAGTTCATATCAAAGTTTGATAGTAATTTAATGAGCAGAGTTCATATCAAACTTCATATACAAGTTCATATCAAAGTTTGACAGTAATCTAATGAGCATATTGAGATGGAGCTCGTAGAGGTACTTCTGATTTACTGTCTGTTACCAAAAGTTAACGGTGAAGGGTATCTTATGTACCGGAAAATTGGCAGGAAAAGGGTGATGTTTGTAGATGGACAATGGACGAAAAACTGTCCGATCGTACGCGTTGAAGTAGGAGAAGAACCCGTCAGACTCAGCGCAAGATCCCAAGAAAAACATATTTTCCCCGTTTTCTCTGGAAGATTTGTGTTTTCCCAGCATCATGTTACGGTCTCTCTTCAACTGTCACTCATTTCGTTCTTTTAATTCATTGTGTTATCAACCGTCACTTATTTCTCTCTTTTAATTCGTTGTGCTACAATTATCCTTTGTTTTGCTTATTAAAATGATCTCACATCGAATAAACTATTTATGCTGTTGTGTTGTGTTTGCAGTCAATGAAGTGGCTATACCTGCTATACTATACCTCTTCGTTAGATACCACATGAAGTATATATTGTCATTGTCTACACCTCCTATACCTCTCCTTTAGCACAAGAACCGTACAACTCCAACGGAAAACCGGTGTAAAGCCAATAACTGCTCTCTCATTTGTACCTTTTATTGCAGCATATTGCAATATGAATTATAGACAAAACTCTTAATTGATTTCAACAATATTTTGCTTTTGCTGTATCAAAAACACTTTTAACAATTTCAACACTTGAAAAAAGAAAGAAAAAAAAACACTTTAACCATTTCTTATGATAAAAGCATTTATGAATAGAGTAATGGACATGCATCTATAATTTCATATTTTTTAATTCTATCTTTAATTTTTTTTTCATAAATAATGTCCAAAATAAGAAAGTAGGTAAGCAATCCTTTTAATATTAAAAATAAAGTCAAGTAGATTAAAATAAGAGTAAAAAATAAAAATGACAAATAATTAATGTTTGGGAAGAAAAGTAGTGTGAAAATATTAACTCACCGTCATTGATAGAATTGAATAGTCGTTTTTGATGAGGTCTGTTCATGAAAAAGTAAAGAATGTGTATGCAAATAGATGAATATTTTAACTTCTACTTTATTTGGCAAACAAATTCTTAAGAAAAACAATACTGTAACTGTGATATAGTAAATGATACCAACACTGTCACTTTTCCTTTGTGCAAATGCAATATTATTTGAAGGGTGATTCATATATATGAAGGTTATTAGAAAATACAAAAACACACTTGCACAATTCTAACATCAAAACTTCTGCCAATGAAGAAGAGGGCCTTCCAGGGGAGAGGCATACTATTTTTTTATGAAATATATATTATTATTTTCAATGAAGATAAAATATCCTTAATAGAACATATGTTTACTGGAGATCTATTTGAAATGCGTTAAAGTTTTAAGAACACTAGAATAAAGAAGAAAAAGATAAAAACATAAAAAATTTTATATTAATTCAATTTCCTAGAATTTACCTCCAATTATTCAAAGAAGCTTGGATTTTTGTTAAAACTTTTAATATCAAATTATAAAATAACCTACTGATGTTGAATAACAAAATACCTTAAACAAAATCTAAAAATTCTACAGTTGTTAACCTTATAAACATCAAAATATAAAAACGATGGCACTACAAGAAAAAACGGTATTAGCGACCGAAAAAATCGGTCGCTAATGGCCAAAAATCGGTCACTAATCATTAGCGACCGAATTAGCGACCGAAATGGTTGGTCGCAAAAGGGCAAGTCGCTAATGTGTTAGCGACCGATTTACATTTCGGTCGCTAAATAGCGACCGATGAGGTGGTCGCTAAAATGGTCGCTAAATAATTTGGTCACTTATTCATTGAAGACCAAAATAGCGATCGAAATTAATATAATAAATCGGTCGCTAAATCCGTGGTAATGTTTTAAATAATAGCGACTTGATATATTCGATCGCTAATATATTAATATAATTATTTAAATAATAATTAAAATCGATCGCTAAATCGGTCGCTAAATGGGAGAAAAAGTTAAAAATAATAGTGACGGATATAATCGGTCGCTAATATATTAATTGAATTATTTAAATAATAATTTAAATCGATCGCTAAATCTGATCAGCTAAATTAATAACAAAGTTAATTATTTTTATTTATTTACATTTTTAATTATATCAAGTTCATTAGACAACTTTTTTTCTCCAATTGGACACAATTGTGTTACATAATGAATGCTTAGTAGTTAGTAGTTAAGATGCATTCTCATCCATGAAATGTTGACCAATTTGTCATAAACTTAAGATTTGAGAAACATTTGCAAATTGAAACTGCCAACTAACAGTGACAGAAAAGATTTCTCATTGTCAAGTACTACTAAATGAAACTGTTACACTTAAACACTGCTATACACATAATTGCCTTTTTTTATATGGTAACTCTAGCACAATCTTAAGAGGGTGTCAATATTGTTTTCTGTGGACTTAAGACTATATTTCAATTGTAGAAAATGCATATATACCAAGAAAGGGTGAGACACAATAAAGGTGAACAACAAAAAAAAAAATAGTATCATAGTAGTGATACATTTCCCTTCATAAAACTGATTTGTTACGTCGCTTCTTTTGTGGTGTTGAATGTGTCTGTGCTTTGATATCATATGTCTTCAATTGAAAATTTTCAAAAGCCTCTGAAATTGTCTGCACCTATAGGATTGCACAAAGCAATATATTAGTGAATCCAACCTGAATGGGTAAAGGAAAGAAGTTTAAACGTGCACAGGATAACTAACCAGTTCAGCCTTTTTGGAGTACACCTTAACTATCATATCTTGGTAAGATATATGTAGCAAGTGACTTACACAGTCATCAGGTATTGTAAATTTCTCATTGCTTTCATAATCCTGAATGCATTATTGAAACTAGGTAACTCAATACAGCTAGCATAATTTAATTCCAAACTAAGCACCAATAATTGGCCAAACTAAACCACTTTAAATATTTCAATAATTTTGAACAATTGTAGCCCAGTATCCCAACAGAAGTAATATAAAACAGTTTAAACTAAAACTTATTAGCAAGGAAACTGTCAAACTGTATAAGGTAAGATGTTTAATAGTGCAAAAAAAAGATATAATTCACTAATACAATATAATCAATAAATCAATAATGTTAAAACTTATAATCTCTACCCTATCGTTAATATTAGAGGCTGAAGTGAACAAAGTTATCTTAAAAATTCTCATAACATCAATACAGATGGTTGTAGAGCGGCTTCCATCACAAAAAATATTTTGTAAATAATTAGACTATACAAAAAATGTATTAGGTGGTGAAACCTCTTTTGCTTTTTCAAGATCTTGAAGGTGGATAAAAAGTAAAAAGGGAGTGAGATAGATTTCATCAAAAGAAGAAAATAAATCATTGGCAGTATATTTGTTGATATAAGAAAACACTTCGGTCTTTAAAAATTAAATTGATTTAACAATTTCAATTTTCTCACATTTTTTAAGTTTTAGAATTTAAGTGTATTGTTTACCATGTTCAAAATCTTCCAATTACTCAACTCAAATACCACTTATCAACAAGTCTATATATATATATATATATTAATGTAAGTAATATTATTATTATTATATTTATAGATCATTTAGTATACACTAATTTTATTTTATAAAAATATAAAATAATTTATATACTATAAATATCAAAAGAAGTTTAAATGAAAATATATGATGAACGTATTTTAATGATTAAAATATAAGTAGATGGTAAATATTTACATAATATATTTCTAATTAACATTTTAAAAATTTATTTATATTTATCAAATGATTAATTGATCTATCACCTTCCTCATATATATATATATATATATATATATATATATATATATATATATATATTATCAGTAAATGTTTTTTCATAGGATTAACACGTATGCATTTAAAAATTTATTTAGCAAACACGTTAATGAAATAAAATATAATAATAAAAAATATGAAAAGATTGACATTTTTAATTAAATGAAAAACAGAAATAGAAAAATAATTACCCAAGTAGAATTAAAAATTATTTTGATCATTATTATTATTATATATATATATATATATATATATATATTTTTTTTTTTTATTCCTTTTCAAAAAGTTTATCTTCCCGAGTTTCAGATTGTATTTAGTCAATCGATAGTATAAAAACTAACAGCAATGAATTTTATTTTATGTACAATTGATAGACAGATCAAAAATAGAACTTCAGTAAAGAATTTTATTTTTTTTCAATAAATTTCAGAGTCTGATAAATATAAAACTTCGGAACAGAACTTTATTTTTCTCTGATCACAAATTGATAGGTTGGAACCAAGTTTTTTTTTCTGTAAGATTTCATATTCTGATATCTCCAACTAAATAAATTTCCCTCTAAATCTTATCTTTCCTAAGTTCTGATTCTGATATCCCGAACTAAATAAATTTGTCTCTTTTATTTCCGGTTACTACTTGTCCACCTAAAAAATCCAACACATACAATCACCTTATCTCACACAATCACATAATTTAAATAAAATAAAAATAGAAAAACAATCACAAACACAATTTAAAAGTATTTTTTTCATTAATTATAAATTTATTATTTCCCTACTCTCATAAAGTTTTTGCATGGTGGTTGCAACCTCGACTGTATCCACTTAGACTCAAAAGTTGACTGTGGCAGCACCGCACCCGGCATCTTCACCAACCAACGAATAAACCAATCCCCAATCTTTTCTTTTCATACGCCTCTTACTTCCTTAGTCCAATTCTCTCTTATCTTATTTCCTCTTAACACCACCTATGCTGCTAGCCCGCCATGTTGTGCGTTCACGGTTCCAAAGCTTTTGTCCACCATGCTTCTACTCAACCTATATGTAAGGTTCGTATCAAAATTTGTTAGTAGTACAACTGCTCATATTAATGTAGGGTTTTATGCGTTTGTTTTGTTCAGAGTGCCGTTTCAGTCTTTTGAACTGTATTTTTTTCGAAGTTTCAAACATCATACATACTTGAAAATGCTATTTAAGGTTTATGTCATTTCTTGTAACCTCGGCTGTATCGACTGTACAGCATTTTGAAAGAGACCGCACCACGTGTCTTGACCAACGAATGAAGGAATCAAGCTCCGGTCTTTTCTTTTCAGACGCCTCTTACATCCTTTGGTCAAATGTTATCTTTCGTCTTAAAAGCACGTATGCTGCTATAGCCCGCCATTTTATGTGTGCCTTCACGATTCCATGGCTTTTGTCCACCATGCTTCTACAAGTTCATATCAAAGTTTTGATAGTAATCTAATGAGCAGAGTTCACATCAAACTTCATATACAAGTTCCTATCAAAGTTTGACAGTAATCTAATGAGCATATTGAGATGGAGCTCGTAGAGGTACTTCTGATTTACTGTCTGTTACCAAAAGTGAACGGTGAAGGGTATCTTATGTACCGGAAAATTGGCCGGGAAAGGGTGATGTTTGTAGATGGACAACTGGACGAAAAACTTTCTGATCGTGCACGTTGAAAAGTAGGAGAAGAGCGCGTTGAAGTAGGAGAATGTTGAATTACTGGTAAGCGTATCAAAATTATCAATCGTAATATAGTATTTTGATTAAATAAAAGTCAATTCCATGATAAACGATTTTAATGGAAATTTTCAATTATACTTACTAAGTAGATTAAAACAGATTGAGTTTTGCAATTAAGAATTGAATTCAAATTAAATGACAAAGAACTGTAAATTGTTGAGAAAATATCAATTAAAGGTACTTAGGATTGACTTCCTTTCTTATCCCTCTTTTGTAATGACTATGTCAATTAAGAACGTCAATTAACCTAACAATGTTGATGTCACCTATTCAAATCATTCATGTTGATTCCTCACACATGAAATTCATAAGAAAACCTAATAAATGTTGATTTCTCACACAATTAACAGATTTTCCAGCATTAGGGTTAGGGTGTTAAGCAATTGATACATTTATTCCATTCCTGGCAATTAACGTAACAAATATTCTTACGGTGATCTAGGGTTCAAGAGATATTTTCCAATCATACTTCAAACAATCAAGAATAAATCATTTCAAAGCATAAAGGATAAGAATAACAACATCAAAACATAGATTAAGATCTCAAAATATCAACATGATACAAAAGAGTGCAAAGGAAGTGCACTGAATCCTAAGATAATGAAGGTAGTCACTCATGTTGACCATTACAATGCTCCAATTGATGAAGAAGTGAAGAATTGATGAAGATTAGACAAAACTCTAACAGTAGTCGTGCATCCTCTCCTCCAAGACTGCTTCCTTTTCTCAAAACACAACTTATCTTTTTATAAAAGAATTTGGGTCGAGCCTCGCATCATTCATTCGCTTAAGCGCTCTTCTTTCTGTCAATTTTACTCCAATTATGCTGACAATTATGCTCCTTACTCTTGTATCAAGGTATTCTCGAATTCATCCTATATTGGGAGAAAAATATATTAGAATTAACATAAGTTAAGTGGTTTCATAACAATTCAAGGCATAATTATATCAACTTTTTCCACTTAACAACTCCCCCAACCTAGAATCTTGCTTGTCCCAAGCAAAGTAGTTTTTCTAAAACAAAATCATCACCTATTATCTCTTTTTCTCTTCCAGAACCACAACATAAAAATTTTCAGAGGTAATGCTCACAACTCCAAATGAAAATAGAACGCATAAGCATTCAAGTTACAGAAACCAACAAAGAATAATTAGTCATCAACTATCCTCAGAGAAGCATGATCTCTCAAAAAGAGTTATATATACTCATATCTAATTCTCACAGGTAAGTGTTTATCTCATTCAATCACTTCATTTAGACAATCCAATATTGATAATCATCTTCAAACAATCAACAATTGTTAAACAAGACTTAAATCAAAAGGTCTTTTGAGGCTTGTAATGGGGCTGTGCTAAGAAAGAATTATTAGTTTTTCTGGGATATACAAAAATATTTGAGAAATTCAACTCATATGAATGATTTTTGATTAACAATTCCTCAAGTCAGGTGTCAAACTTCATGTTTTTGTCCCTAACACAATGACAGTGAGTTAATGATCTCACAAGTTATTATTCCCCCCTTGAACTACTTTTCTATTTTTTTTTCTCATGCTTTTGCATGTATTCTTTTTTACTTTGCCAATTTTTTTTTAAGCTTTGTTTTTCCTTTATCTTTACACCTTTTTTCTTTTTTTTTTAAGAATACACCCCAATAATACTCGTTGGACAATAATAATAATACCCAACAATAAGAAAAATAGTGACATTCATACTCATTTCCTTTCTCAAATATAGGAAGGTAGATAAATAATGTTTAGGCTTAAGGGTTCTGTTTAAGAAACAATATTATTTTTGACTCATAAAGGGTTCAAATGAATGTCTTATAATTAATGCAGGATTAACTATTTGGCTCTGGGTTATATCTACTACAAAGAAAAAATTGCCTTTATCATTTTCAAGTCTTACCAATATATAATCACATCAAATAATCAACCAATATCAGTTATCATCACAAAGTGTTGACACTCAATTTATTTGTTTGTGGGTACTCTACTCACCTGGGTTTTGGCTAGCTTCTCCAATTCAGTTAATTCCTAATTTTCCTCATCAATTCCTTTTCACTATCATACTCAATATCCCAAAATCACTTGTTATTGAAAACAATCAAAATTATTTTTCACGTTCTAGATTTGAATTAGACAATAAGTAATAATCTCATATATGGCTCTAAAACAAATTATGGGACAGCAAGAGAATTCAAAATTTAAAATAAAGCAATTAAAAACATTAAATTAAAACCATTAAAAATAAAATAAGTTTCCTTCCTTATTTTCTTCACTTGTCATCTACTCCTTATCTTGTGCCTCAGCTGCAGACTTTCTCACCCCCTCCAGAAAAGTTGGATTATCCCCAGACCATTGAAGTAAGACTTCAAAGTCTTGAGGAGAAGTGTACTGTGTACCTAGAGAAATCTTGTAAAGAAAGAACCTAAGGAAGAAAATGCACAAAAAACTTAAACTGCAAAAAGGAAAAAAAAAAATTCAAAACATTAGGTTGCCCAGGAGGGCTTGTTTAACGTCTTCAGCTCAACACCTATTTGCTTTAGGGCTCATGCAGGTGAGTGATCAAGGTGATATATACGCATTCTCCATCCCTTGACTGTCCTTGTGGGAATGAATTTATTCTTTTCATTGCGAATAACCTTACGACTGTTAGAGATTGGATAAATCATACCTGCTTCAGGAGGTTTCAGTACCTCTCTTTGAATAACTTCCTTCATAGTCAGACTAAGATGTCTTTGGGGTTGTGTAACAGACTTGTAATCTTGTTTTTCAGTTGAGATGGGTAATTCCTCCAAAGTATCTATTCTGATGCAATATTTCTTGTCTTCCGGTTGTTGTACAACTTCAAACAGATTAAAATTAACTTCATCATCTCAACTTCTAATGTTCAACTTGCCCATGTCAACATCTATAATTACTTTGGCAGTCTTCATAAATGGTCTTCCCAGGATCAATGGAACTTCCTCATTTTCCTCCATGTCCATAATCACAAAATCAACAGGAAATATGAATTTATCCACTCTAACTAAAACATCTTCTGCTACTCCATAAGGAGACTTTACAGATCTGTCAGCTAGCTGTAATGTCATTCTTGTAACACTACTACAAAATATGCTTTCAACATCGCCATTTAACGTCGGTTAAAGCTGAGCCGACGTTAAATACACTTTCAACGTCGGTTGGTTAAAAACCAACGTTGAAAGTTGAATGTTGGACACATTCTACGTCGGTTCTTAGTCAACCGACGTAAAAAGCACTTTCCACGTCGGTTCCAGATAAACCGACGTTGAAAGTCTTTTAATTGACACATTCAACGTCAGTTCGACGTTGAATGTGTTTTCACCCAAAACTTCTTGTAAGTTAAAAAATTGTCACTGATAGGATTTGAACCCTGTATTTTAGAGTTAAAAGTTGATACTCCAACCACTAAACTACTGTAATTTTCTAATAATAACTTACAAATAAATTATATTTATATACAAATAAATATATATCCGTATAAATATATATTTATTTATATTTTCTGGAAAGTGTTTTTACTTTTTTTCAGCTTAAAATTTACTTAAGTTAGAGAATTGTCACTGATAGGATTTGAACCCAGTATTTTAGAGTTGAAAGTTGATACTCCAACCACTAAACTACTATAATTTTTTTATAATAATTTATAAATAAATTATATTTATATACAAATAAATATATATCCGTGTAAATATATAAATATAGAATATATAAATACAAATATATTTATATATTTTGATATATTTATATATATTTATATAGTTATATATTTATATATTTATATGTTGGATGTGAGGGTGCGTTCGAGGGTGAAAGTGAGATTGACTCTCGCTTGAGTGAAAATACGTTAAAGCTTACGGAAATTCACTTGCTCAAGCCTCGCTTGAGCAAAAATTGGTATTTTTCGCTTGAGCGAATGATGCGTTTCCCAAATTTATTTTATATCATTATATAAATAAATTATATATATTATATTCTGTCATTAAAGTACAAACCCACATAAAGAGACCTACTCACAAATTTGGCATCAAATTTTGAAAACTCACTCAACACACACTTTCACATTCGACCAGTACCCTCACATCCAACATATAAATATATAATTATATAAATATATCAAAATATATAAATATATTTGTATTTATATATTTACACGGATATATATTTATTTGTATATAAATATAATTTATTTGTAAGTTACTATCAAAAAATTTGAGTAGTTTAGTGGTTGGAGTATCGACCTCCAACACTAAGGTACTCGAGTTTGAATCCTGTCGGTGATAAAAGATTAATTTGGTGAGTCTTTAGACTTCAAAAAAATATGATAAATAATAAAAATATAATATAAAAGAGAGGGGAGATTTCTAGATAAATAGAGAGGGGTTGGAAATAAATAAAAATTTTCGATTTGAAAAATCAGACTTTCAACGTCGTTAACCGAGACTTTCAACGTCGATTCTGGAACCGCCGTTGAAGGCCTTCCATTCTTTTAAACATAGACAAAGACATTAGATTTATGGTATAATGAAACTGTCAGGATCCTTGGACTTTTGAGGCAATGATTTCTGAATTATAGCGTTGCATCCTGCTTCTAGCTCCACTGTTTCTGCAGTAAATCTCCTTTTTTTAGTTAACAACTCTTTCATGAATTTTGCATAAGTCGGCATCTGCTTCATAGCTTCCATAAGTGAGATATTAATCTGTAAATTCTTGAAAATATTCATGAATCTTGCAAACTGTTTTTCTTTATTTTTCTTGGAAGGATGATGAGGATATGGTAAATCCTTTAATTGTGGTATTTGACTATCATCATTCACCCTCTTTTTCTCACTCTTTTTATTTTTCTTTTCTTTTTCAGTATTTTTTTCTTTTTCTATACTCTCACTTTTATTTTTCTCTTTTTCTCCTTCACACTCATCTTTCTTCTTTTCATCCTCTTTTTCTTGTAGGATTTCCTTTTCTACAGCCAGATTGTCACCAATACCTTCTCCTATAACCTTACCACTCCTTGTAGTTATTGAATTGCATTGCTCCCTAAGGTTGGTTTGTGTGCTAGCTGAAAACTGTCCTCCTTGTTGCTGCTCAGATAATTGCTTAGCTAGTTGGCCTATCTGGATCTCTATATTTCTGAATGAAGCCTCAGTATTTTCTGATTAGCCATAGTGCCTTGCATGAATTTTTCTAAAGTATCCTCCAATTTACTTATTCTGTCAGGCACTGAAGGATAATGTTATTGCTGCTGTTGATATGGAGGTTGCTGATATGACTATTGTTGAAATGCAGGTTGTCTAGTAGATGAGCTAACACCTTGGTTCCACCCAAAATTCTGATTCTGATTTTGATTCCCTCTCCATTCTTGTGCAAAATTATTCTGATAATTATTGGGATTAGGAAAATTACCTTGTCTACTTTGACTACTACCTTCGGCACCCATATAATTAGCTTCTTCTTGTTGAATGTTGCCTTGATAAGAGCATTGTTCATTTGCATGATCACCTCCACACACGTCATAACTCATCTGTTGATTATGAATAAATTGTACTGTATGCATTTGTTGAGGTAATTTCTCTATTTTCTGGGTTAATGCTTCAATTTATTGCGTTATAAGTTTATTCTGGGCTAAGAGAGCATCTGTGGTGTTAAGTTCAAGGACTCCCTTCCTTTGAATTGGATATCTATCATGTTGAGCCTGTTGGTCTGTAAAAGCTAGTACATCAATAATTCTTGTGGCATGCTCAATTTTTACATCCAACATGGATCCTCCTGCTGCAACCTCTAATAACATCTTTGCATCATGTCGCAACCCAGTATAGAAAATATTCAACTGAGCAATGTCATCAAATCCATGATTTGGACATCTTCTTAACAGTGATTTAAATTTCTCTTATGCTTCACAAAATTTTTCATCTGCTCCTTGTCTGAAAGAAGTGATGTCAGATTTTGCTTTGATGTAGCGGGATGGTGGGAAAAATCTATTCAGAAACTTTTCTTCTATACTACTCCAATTAGTCAAACTCTGATTAGGATGTGCTTTCAGCCACTCCTTTGCTCTACCTGCCAAAGAAAAAGGAAATAATATCAAATATCCATATTCAAGATTTGCTGCTCTAAATCTCACGGTACCAATCAACTCATAAAAAGTAGACAAATGAATATAAGGGTCTTCATGATCCAATCCAGTGAATTGATGAACACTAATCAAGCTTAAGAAGGATGGATTCATCTGCAATGTATGATCATCCGAAATGACAATGCTGAAAAAATGCCTTGGACCTTGTTGCATAGCACAATTTTTAAGAGTTCTTCTAGGTGAATTTGAATTTGGGTTTTGATTTGGATTTATATTTGGATCTGGATTCGAATTCAGATTTGCTCCTTCTTCCGCCATATCTTCTATAATTGGGTCTGGTAAATCAAGTGTGAAAGAAGAATTAGCAGATTCTCTTGTAGCGTGTTCTTGAGTTTCCCTTCTTCTTCTACCTCGGTTCCTCCGAGCTATTTTTTCAATCTCTGGATTAAATTCTAACCGCTTCGAAGATACATGTCCTCTTAAACGCATAAATCAAAAGAGTAACTCAAGCAAATATTAACACAAATTAAAAACTAAATAATAATAATAATAAAACAAAAACAGAAATAAAAATAATAAAACAAAAACAGAAATAAAATAAAATACTCAATAAGCTAAACAAAGAATTCTCAAAGAACACCGTTCCCTGGTAACGGCACCGAAATACTTGTTGAATTATTGGAAAGCGTATCAAAATTATCAATCGCAGTATAGTATTTCGATTAAATAAAAATTGATCCCATGAGGAACGGTTTCAATGGAAATTCTCAATTATGCTTACTAAGTAGATTAAAACAGAGTGGATTTTGCAATTAAGAGTTGAATTGAAATTAAATGACAAAGAACTATAAATTATTGAGAAAATATCAATTAAAGGTACTTAGGATTGACTTCCTTCCTTATCCCTCTTTTGTAATGATTATGTCAATTAACCTAACAATGTTGATGTCACCTACTCAAATCATTCATGTTGATTCCTCACACATGAAATTCATAAGAAAACCTAATAAATGTTGATTCCTCACACAATTAACAGATTTTCCAGCATTAGGGTTAGGGTGTTAAGCAATTGATACATTCATTTCATTCCTGCCAATTAACGTAACAAATATTCTTACCGTGATCTAGGGTTCAAGATATATTTTCCAATCATACCTCAAACAATCAAGAATAAATCATTCCAAAGCATAAAAGATAAGAATAACAACATCAAAGCATAAATTAAGATCTCAAAATATCACCATGATACAAAAAAGTTCAAAGGAAGTGCACCGAATCCTAAGATAATGAAGTTAGTCACTCATGTTGGCCATTACAATGCTTCTATTGATGAAGAAGTGAAGAATTGATGAAGATTAGACAAAACCCTAATAGTAGTCGTGCTTCCTCTCCTCCAAGACTGTTTCCTTTTCTTAAAACACAACTTATCTTTTTATAAGAGAATTTGGGTCGGGTCTCGCATCATTCATTCGCTTAAGCGCTCTTCTTTCTTTTGATTTTACTCCAATTATGCTCCTTACTCTTGTATCAAAGTATTCTCGAATTCATCCTATATTGGGAGAAAAATATATTATAATTAACATAAGTTAAGTGGTTTTATAACAATTTAAGGCATAATTATATAACTTTTTACCTATTAACAGAGAACCCGTCAGACTATCTCAAGAAATACGTCGAGCAAGTCGCTGTTAAAAACTACATCAAAAAATATTTTCCCCGTTTTCTCTGGAAGATTTGTGTTTTCCCAGCATCATGTTACGGTCTCCCTTCAACTGTCACTTATTTCGTTCTTTTAATTCATTGTGTTATCAACCGTCACTTATTTCTCTCTTTTAATTCGTTGTGTTACAATTATCCTTTGTTTTGCTTATTAAAATGATCTCACATCGAATAAACTATTTACGCTGTTGTGTTGTGTTTCGCAGTCAATGAAGTGGCTATACCTACTATACTATACCTCTTCGTCAGATACCACATGAAGTATTGCCATTGCCTACACCTGCTATACCTCTCCTTCAGATAGCACAAGAACCATACAACTCCAACGGAAAACGGTGTAAAGCCAATAACGACAAGTGCCCCAGTATGATGGTTTAGAAGTCGAAAACTATTCACCACCCTTGCCGTGTGAAACATGTTGCGCGCAACCTTAGTTTTGCCGCCATTGTTGTTGCATTTTTTGTGGCCAAACTATCTGTCCAGATTATGGTGGCTATAATTATGTCAAGTGCCAACTGAATCCTTGAGTGGCCATGTTTGTCACATTGAATGTTCCCTCCGATCTTTCTTGGATGTCAGAGTTGGAGGAAACATAGGGTTAGACGGTGAATACCACTGCAGACGCTGCAGTGGTACAACTGACATGATATCCCATGTTTATAATCTTCTTCAAACATGTAAAACTACAAATTTGGATCAAGAAATTCTGAAGAAGATTTTGAATCTTGGTGCTTTTCTGGTGCGGGGTTCAGGGAGAAAGGTTGCAAATGAGCTGCTAGCTCAAATTGATAGGGCCGTCTCAAGCACTACTAGAAATTTTCATGAAATATTTTTGCAAATTTTTTACAATAATTATAAGAAATAAATTTTCTACCAATTTAAATAATTTTTCAGATAAAACATTGCAAAAAATATTGGTTAATAGAAATAGAAACTATCTTGTTTGTTCTCTCTTGTGTACTTAAAAGGCTTAGGAATAATTTGATGGTTTGCATAAGCTGTAAAATTAATCAATATTGATATTAAAAGATTAAATAATATATTATTAATAAATAAATAAATAAAAAAGTGAAAAAATAAAATTATAGATATATATTTAAATATATTAAATAATTATTAAATCTGAGAAAAATAAAAAAATAAATTATAATAGAATTATAAAATTAAAAAAAATAAAAAAATAAAATTATAAATAAATAAATAAATATATTAAATATTTATTAAATTTAAGGGTGAAAATAAAAAATTATATTAGAATTATAAAATTTTGGGGGCACGCGCTTTCCCTCCCGAGAAGATCCAATTGGACACCAACCCTTGTGAAACATGTTGCGCCCAACCTTTCTTTTGCCGCCATTGTTGATGCGTTTTTTGGGCCAAACTGTCTGTCTGGTGGCTATAGTTATTTCAAGTGTCAAGTGAATCACGGGCAAGGAGTATGTGGCCACGTTTGTCACATTGAATGTGCCCTCCGACCTTTCTTGGCTGACAAAGTTGGATGGAAGATAGGATTAGACAGTGAATACCCATGCAGACGTTGTTTAGACAGTTGAAAAGAGACCGTAAGCCGATGCAGATGCAGGTGGTAAAGCCGAATCTTCCGGCTTCAGGACCCGTACCAGGATCCGAATCTTCTTGCGGACAATTCTCCAAACATCACCCCTTTCCGGCCAGGCCAGTTTTTCGGTGCGTATACCTTTTTCCTTTACTTCCGGTGGCACTTACTGTAAATCAGTAATATCTCTACGCTCAATATGCTGACTGGATTACTACCCTTCTTAAATATGAACTTGGATACGAACTATGACACGAACTTTGATATGAACTTATATATACTGCTTGAGTAGAATATGGTAGACAAAAGACCGGGGATTTGTTTCTTCGTTCGTTAGTTAAGATGAGCGGTTTAAGGACGCAGTTTCTGTTGGGAAAAATATGCGGAATCTTCTCACATGGTCAGATCTGTGAAAGTGAAATAAAAGCGGAATAATTGCACACACAAGTTGATAACGGAGTTCGGCCAATAATGCCTACGTCTCCGGACTACTACAGATCTCTTACTAGGAGAAAAGAAAAATACACAAGTGTTTACAAAACACTCCCAAAACACTCACAACTCACAACCCAATTACACCCAGAAGCTAAACTAAAACTCTCTAGTTTTTCTGCCTCTCACTGGTGCCACTCTTTCTTCTCTAAGAGAAGTAGTATTTTGTGTGGGATGGGATGATTTGCTTGCAGGAAGAAGACCAATTTATAGCAAAAATTGGTACTGTGTATTACCATAAAAAATTGCCTCGTGGGCACCTCATGCTTGAATAAAAATTTGCAGCCACCCTTTTCTTTCATGCTTTCGGTGCAAATGAGAAAGTTGGTTGCCCACTTTCTTTGACCAACAATCTCCCACTTGAGGACCGATTTCAATCTGTCCTCAAACCTTGATCAATAGTAGTCTTCTCTTGTCTGTTATCCTTGTAAGCTAACTGAAGTTGAGCATAACTTCAGTTTGTCAATAGTCACCACCTTTGTTAGCATATCTGCTGGGTTCTTACTTCCCACAATTTTCTTCAATGTTAACATCTCATCCTCAAGTAGAGATCTGATGAAATGATAACGTATGTCGATGTGTTTGGTTCTGGAGTGAAATGCTGAATTTTTTGCCAGATGTATTGCACTCTGACTATCACTGTGCAAAACACTCCTTTCTTGAATGAATCCCAACTCTGCCAACAATCCTTGAAGCCATATCAATTCTTTACTGGCTTCTGTCACTGCTACATACTCAGCCTCTGTAGTGGATAAAGCAACAATCTTCTGTATCCGCGACATCCAACTAACAGCTGTAGTTCCAACAGTAAACACATACCCAGTGGTGCTTCTTCGGTGATCAACTTCACCTCCAAAGTCTGCATCTACGTAGCCCTGCAATTTTAGATCTCCTTTTCTAAAATACAGACATTTTTCTGTTGTGCCTCGTAGATACCTTAGAATCCATTTGACTGCTTCCCAATGAGCTTTTCCTGGATTTGACATGAATCTGCTTACAACTCCCACTGCATGGCCAATGTCTGGCCTCGTACAGACCATCGCGTACATCAAACTTCCAATGGCTGAAGCATACGGAATCTTAGCCATTAACTCTTCTTCTTCCTTCGTTTGAGGAGACTGATCCTTGGATAGACGAAAATGGCAAGCCAAAGGTGTATTGACTGGTTTGGCATTGTCCATGTTGAATCTCTGCAAAACACGGTTGATGTACTCCGCTTGAGATAACTGCAAAACTCCTTTTTGCTTATCTCTCGTGATTTGCATTCCAAGAATCTTCTTTGCTGGGCCTAAGTCCTTCATGTCAAATTCTTTTGACAACTGCTTCTTTAAGTTTATGATCTCATTCATATCTGAACCTGCTACTAGCATATCATCAACATAAAGTAGCAAAATGATATAACTGGACTTATACCTCTTGAAGAAACAACAGTGATCAGCGTTGCACTTCTGGAAACTCTCCTTGTGCATGAAGCTTTCGAACTTCTTATACCACTGTCTTGGAGCTTGTTTCAGGCCATACAAGCTCTTTTTCAATCTGCACACCAAGTTCTTCTTTCCTTCTGAAAAACCTTCAGGCTGGTGCATGTAGATCTCCTCATCTAAATCTCCATGAAGAAATGCGGTCTTCACATCTAATTGCTCTAGGTAGAGCTCCTCACTAGCCACAATACTTAACACAGTCCTGATAGTATTGAGCTTTACAACTGGAGCAAAGATTTCAGTGTAGTCGACTCCTTCTTTCTGCTGAAATCCTTTGACGACCAGTCGAGCTTTGTATCTCTTAGAACCATCATGGTCTTCCTTCACTCGATACACCCATTTGTTGTGAAGTGCTTTCTTTCCCATAGGTAACTTGACTAGTTCCCATGTCTGATTTGAGATCAAAGACTTCATCTCGTCTTTCATGGCAAGCTCCCACTTGCTAGCATCCGTGGCTTGACAAGCTTCCGTATAATCTTCAGGCTCCCCTCCATCAGTCAACAACATATAGTCCATGTATCTCCTGTTAGGCACATGAGGCCGAGAAGACCTTCTCAATTCATTAGTTGGAGTAGGAGGTTCTGCTTGCACATCAAGTTCTTCAACTGATTCCTCTGGCTGAGGACTCCTCATTATAGGACTTTCTGGGATATCTTCCACCTCTGCATAAACTGGCCCACTCGCTTCTGAGTTGCTGGCACCTGTATTATGCTTGTCCTTGTACATCACTCTTTCATTGAAGATTACGTCTCTGCTGCGGATCATCTTTTTGTTTTCATCGTCCCATATGCGGTAGCCAAACTCATCTTCACCATAACCAAGGAAAGTACATTTCTTTGATTTTGGATCAAGTTTGTTTCTGCCTTGATCACTGATATGCGCATATGCTACACAGCCAAAAACTCTAAGATGTGAGAGTTTTACCTCTTTTCCGCTCCATACCTCTTCTGGTATCTTGTGTTCCAATGGTACCGATGGACTTCGGTTGATCAAGTAAGCTGCTGTGTTGACTGCTTCTGCCCAAAACTGCTTTGGTAAGCCTGACTGCACACGCATGCTTCTGGCCCTTTCAGTCAACGTTCGATTCATACGCTCAGCTACACCATTGTGTTGAGGCGTACCCGGCACGGTTCTCTCCATTCTGATTCCGTGCTCATAGCAAAACTTCTTGAATTTGGTGTCTACATATTCACCACCATTGTCGGATCTGAGCTTCTTAATCTTCAATCCTGTCTCATTTTCCACCATAGCTTTCCAAATCTTGAAAGCTTCAAATACTTCTGACTTATATTTCAGAAAGTAAACCCATACCTTTCTGGAGTGATCATCAATGAAAGTCACGAAGTAATGCTTCCCACCAACGGATGGGACAGTCGTTGGACCCCAAACATCAGAGTGGATGAGCTCAAGCTTCTCTTTCTTTGGGGTTCTTTTACTTGTCTGAAAGCTGACTCTCTTCTGCTTTCCAAGTATGCAGTCTTCACACATGTCAATATCTACTGACTGAAGACCTGGTAATTTTCCTCTCGAGTGCATGACCTTCATTCCTTTCTCACTCATATGTCCAAGTCTTTGGTGCCATATGTTGGAATTTTCATTTGCTGCAACTGCAATCAAATGACATGCTCCTGCAGTCTTGTAGAGAGTTCCACTCTTTTTGCCTCGAGCAATCGTCATCGCACCTTTTGAGATCTTCCATTCATCACCATGGAAGATTGTCGTATAGCCTTCACTAGCTAACTGACCTACTGAGATTAAGCTCTTTGTCAGGTCGGGAATATGTCTGACATTTTTCAATTCCCATACAGACCCATTCAGCTTAATCCTTACTGCACCTTTGCCTACAATCTCACATGACTGTTCATTACCAAGGTAAACCTTACCAAGGTTTCCGGGAACATAATTCTCCAACAGTTCCTTCTGTGAGGTAGCATGAAAAGATGCTCCGGAGTCTAACACCCAAGACTCCTCCCTGCCTTCAAGAGAGCATATCAACGCCTCATCTTTTCCTGAGGTGGAGGCAACGTTTGCTTCGTCCTTTGCTCCTTGATTCTTCCGTGCACTCTTGCACTGGTTTCTGAAGTGTCCGGTCTTCCCACAATTCCAACACTCGATCGTTTTTGAGTTGTGGGAACTACGATGATTTCTGGACTTGGACCGCCTGTCCTTTGATTTTCCATGTCCAATTTCTTTGGTTGAACTTCTTCCTCTTGACTCTGTATGCAATACTGAAGAGGTTGATGCTTCACCCGACTCTCTCCGCCGGATCTCTTCGCTGAGAACCAAATTTTGAACATCATTAAATCTTAACTTATTGTTTCCCGATGAGCTACTCACAGCTGTGACCGTAGCATTCCAACTCTCTGGTAGGGAAGACAAAAGTATTAAAGCCTGTACTTCATCATCGAATTTGATGTCAATAGAACTCAACTGGGTTGTTACAGTGTTGAGTTCATTGAGATGATTTGCCACCGAAGCACCTTCAGACATCCGCAGGTTGAACAATCGCCTCATCAAGTGAACTTTGTTTGAGGCTGATGGTTTCTCGTACATGTTGGAAAGAGCCTTCATGAGATCTGAGGTCGTCTTTTCTTTCACAATGTTGAAAGCAACATTACGGGATAATGTTAGACGAATAACTCCAAGAGCCTGTCTATCAAGGAGTCTCCATTCTTCCTCTTTCATGGTTTCTGGCTTCTCCCCTGTGAGTGGTTGATGCATCTTCTTCTGATACAGATAATCCTCTATCTGCATCTTCCAGAAGCCAAAGTCTGTACCGTCGAACCTTTCGATTTTCATTTTTCCTTCGTCTGCAGCCATCACTCCAACTCTGATCTGACTTATCTGCTGGATCGTTTCTGACAATTCTTGTGAGCTACCGTGTTTCAGAACACGACTGCGGGCAAATTTGTAACGCCGACAAAATTTGCACTATTCACGTTTTCACTATTCACGGAATAGTAACTTACTATTCATATGAATAGTAACACCACAAGAATTACAGAACTAACAACCAGCTCTGATACCAGTTGTTGGGAAAAATATGCTGAATCTTCCCATATGGTCAGATCTGTGAAAGTGAAATAAAAGCGGAATAATTGCACACACAAGTTGATAACGGAGTTCGGCCAATAATGCCTACGTCTCCGGACTACTACAGATCTCTTTCTAGGAGAAAAGAAAAATACACAAGTGTTTACAAAACACTCC